GTCATACTACTGCAAAACGATGGGCCCACCATAAACACACACACACATACACACACCTTCTTTGTCTTTTGGAAATACAGTTCTGGGAGAGCGTGTAACCAGTAGCCCAGCTGACAAATGAAGTAGAATTTCATCTGGAATCTGAAAGAAAGTTACAAAATTAAAAGTTTTTATTCTTCAAACCCCCACACTTATATATGTATATATGTATAAAATAACCATTTAAGTAACATATGTGACAGGGTTTCTTGTCAATTTAAACAACATGACAACTTACGGCATCAGTGTATGGGGATAACCCTCCCACAGGGTGACTGGATTGGACAGGAAGTTTTCCTAAGATCAAAGTAGTATTTAAATTACATGCACGGACAGTCAGTTTATGGCCTTAAAATATATGTAAAACCAGCTTAGCTACTGTACATACAGACAGCAGGATGCTCACGCCCCAGCCGAAGGAGAATAAGTAAAAAGCGCTGAGTTGGCCTGACTCATTGAATTTGCTGTGCTTCGTTTTGGAGAAGTGTTTCTTCCGGTTGATTTTCTGTAATAAAAAAAAAGAACACTAAACAATGCAGAAGCGCTCTCAGAGATTGAAGTCTGTGCACTCAAGTGTGTGTCTCACTTACATCCAGCACATACTCCTGGATAATGGCATGCATGATGATGGCAACCAGCATGTAGAAGAAGACAGTGGCCAGGTCCTTGATGCCATGGTGGAAGTGGTTCACAGCCGTCTCCTCTGGGCCTTCGCACAGAGGTCAGACAGAGTCATCACATGAGCATGATTTAAAAACAATAAAATAAGATAAGAAATAACAAATAAGATTTTTTTTATCCTCACAATGACCTGCCGAGCCATTTAAAGTTCAATTCAAACAAGTGATTCACAGGTTTAACAACCTTAATTCCAGAGGTAAGGTGCTTGGATTAGTGAGTCTCACCCGTGCAGTATTACACCACTTGGAAAATACCAGAGTCACTGACTGTCTCAGCACAAAGCCTCTTCTATCTCTCAAAAGTAACATATTATCTATACAGCCTCAAACCCAGTATCTGTGAGAAATACTGAACAATGAGAGGAGTTGTAGCACAGAGAAAGACGATACATGAACACACTTGACAGCAAACTGTTTCAGAAAGCCTGAGCGGTGCTCCATTGCTCATTGTTTATGCAACCAAATAAAGACATCAATCCAATTATTTGTAAAAGTCAGCACAGACAAAGAAAAAACACAGTGGCGTTATTGAATTTGCTCCACTACGGAGAGATTTAGTTGCTGCATGTTATTTGCCTAATTTGATACATGCTGTAAATAAGTTACAGAGCTAGGTAAGTGGTCAGGTCTCTCAGATAAGAACTGAATCACCAGCTGGCAGCCTGCAACAGTACAAAAAGCTCTGAGGTTGAACATTCCTTCAACAGTATCTGAAGTTGGCAAAGAAATTGTTAACCTTGAAATGAACAGGACTTGAATTAAGAGGCCTATATTACACCTTAGCCCAAATTCACCCGGCACAACCTTGCCACAAGAGAACTTTATAAATCAGGCGGACTAAATTTAGCTCCAAAGGGAAAAAAGGAGCTCTCAAATGGGTTTGTGTAAGGCCACGCAAGTACCGCTCTAGAATCCAAATGAGAGGCTTCAAGCCAGACAACTCGAAGAAAATACTGCATTATACATTAAAGCCTAAACTTGCTGTATTCACTTTACACATCCATACATCGTCATCTGTTCTCACCATGTGTCTTATACTGTCAATATAATCCTTAACTTACCATTTGTTGATATGGTGACATTGTACTGGACAGTTATGAACAACACTGCAAACTTTGAGGTGACCTGTAGATAGAAAGAAAACAGTAATTAGAGCCTGCACGTGTGTCATTTAAACAAGTATCAACCAAATACTACTGTAAATTCAAACAGGTTAGAAAGGTTACTTGAATTTATACACACAAAACTGGGAGCATTGCATTTATATGCTGGGTCATTCACTGCACGACCCATAATGGAGTGACTGCGACATATGATTATTGAAATTAAAGTAACACATTTTATTTTAGCAATATATTACCCCAACTTTAGGATGATAAGACGGAATTATGCAATACTATTTATTTTTTGACAGAAAAAAGGTGAAAAAGCAATACCAACTCGTTCTTTAGGGCTCTTAGGAACTATAGAACTATTACATCTATGCATGCTCGACTTGTTTAAGAAATGACTTTTGTGGATTACAATTAATCAGCAGTATTACATAATATGACTGATGTGTGATGGAAAATTAAACATGATCCAACCAAGTAAACAGAGCTGCATCAAGATAGCCAGATAATAAGGTTAAAATAGGAAGCAGCTTATTCCTCCTTCACAACAAAAGAACTACGTGGCCACCAAATGGAAATTAAACACACGTCAGACGCACTCACTGCTCAGTTAAACTATCATAAATAGACTTTATTTTGAAATTGCTTACGCCGTCGTTACGTTACTCTATAGACGCTGCATCGTATGCCATTACAGGAATTTTATTTTGTAAAACAAAAACAGGAAGTAGTTGAGAAAATCGCCAAAACGACGCTAATGGCGCTGATTTTCACTGAGGATGAAACATGCTCGAAATGAACCGTAAATGTGTGTTAAAGTGGAGCAGCTGGGGGGGGCACAGGGACGGTGTGAGGGCAGCCCGCCGGCCCGCTGCACCCGGTCACATTCAAACCCGCCGCCGAGCTCCAGGGACAACTTTCAGTTTTGGTGCAAGCGGGTGTCTGTGATGATGACAGCCCTCTCAGTCGCTGTATGATTGCCACGTAACACATCGACGCATAAACTAAGCAGGTCGAGAGTGTTGCCCAATGTTGTAACCACCGAGGTTCATTAAAATGTTGCAAACCTGCGACGCGATGAGATACTTTTTAAAAAACAATGTTGCACATGAGAAACTTTGCTTTTTTTGTGTTAAAGAGCAAACCCGCGGGCCTGCGGACGAGTGGTTGTAATATCGATTTCAACATGGGAAGCAGCCAGATGCAAAGTGGACACTAGTTCCCACGTCGCTTTAAGAAAGAGTGCGGGTTTGGTGGAAACCTAACGCCGAGCTACCTGGCTGAGTTGAGTTGATGGTATAGTGGAATAAAAAGCCAAAGCGAGGCCATCGTGCACAGAAAACTTTCGGCCACGGGAGGAAGTGGTGTGAAGAATAGATCAGACAGCCATGTCAGTTTCCAGGAGAACAGAAGGGGAGTATTTCGGCATCCTGCCTCCCAGTAGTCCGTGCACTGTGCCGGGGCGAGCATCCCCGCATGCCCCACAGATAAAACCCATTCAACATGTGGACTGGACTCACCTCAAACATCAGCCCGAGAAGGAACACCATAGCAACACAGGAAACAATATCTGCATGGTTCTGGATGACAAACTCGTGGCTCAGCACCGGCGGATTCTTGTTGGTCTTTTTTCGGATCCCCATGTCGACGGCCCGACTTTTGCTCCACGCAGCGCAGATGTGGTCGCTTTCTTTAAGATATTATTATCCGTCGGTGCGAGGACGCTCAAAGCTGCCTCCTGCTTCCTACGAGCAAAGGGCCAGGCAGCAATTGAATGGCGTGTCACTCTTCTGCTAGTGGGAGGGCCCACGGAGAGAGAGCCGCTGCGCCTGACCAACGACACTCTTTACGCACGGGAGAGAAACAGCTGCGGCTCTCTGTCGCCACCTAGAGGTCTGGAGTATAACCATGGCTACAGCCCACAGCCTAAAGATGGGCTAGTGTACTTTATCCAACCCAAAGCTAGCTACATCTTACATGGGGTTGCTTTTTGGATTTACTGGTCCAAGCTACATTTATTCGGTCTTCAAAAAATTCCAACATTTGACACACATTATTGTAGATTAAACCAGGCTGCATTAGCAATAGTTTTGGGGATTGTGAAGCTACAGCCAGTAGCTGGTTAGCTTTGTCTAGTATAAAGACAGGCAACACTATATATATATATATCTACACTATATCTATATATATTACATGTACTGTTAGCTATTTAAATATTATAAGTGTAAAAAGGACATGTTGTGGTTTCACAGCCGGTTGCCTAGTAACCTAATGACTCCAGGAAGTTATAGCACTGGGCCAAGAAAGAGTATGGCACACAATCTTCCTGTGTTATATGCTTCATATTTACCCTACAGATACACAAGCATTGAGCTATTCACAACAAAGCAAATAAGCATATTTAATTTCAAAAATGAATTGAAAATTTTCCAAAAATTGTAACCATTTGAATATAGCTCAGCCTTCCAAGCCTGTAGGAGAAACTACGGTGGCTGTGATTATTGCAGAAAACACAAAATACCCTATCTAGAGCCAGTGTTTAGTTTGTCTGTTCTGGGCGACTTTAAAAACATGGCGGTTCAACATGGCTGCCTCTGTGGTAGAGGACCCGCTCCCTCCGTACATAAAAACAGCTTCATGTATACCGATAGGTAGATCTACTAAATCACCGGATACCATGGATTTTGAGATACGCCTGTATAGAGGTTGTAATTTATTCAACACTAAATTGACAAAATATCCGAAGTAATTTATCCAATTTCATACTATTTGAGTTCCATTTCTGTCACAAATATGTATTGAATTTCGCTTCTATTAAGTGTTGTGAAACTATCTAAGCTGCGCACCTTAATCAATAGTAGCGCATACTACAAGATACTTAACTATAAAGACATTCAGCCATCCAGGAACAGCATTAATTGTAACTCGCCAACAGGATATGAACTTGGGTCAGTTGCCATAATGAACCTCTTCATTAGCCATGTTGTGAGTTATGTTAACTTCCTGAGTCATTTAAGGTTACTAGGCAACCGGCTGTAAACCCACAACATGTCCTTATTACTATGTTCACACTTATGTATGTCAATAATTGATACTTTTAAATTAGAACTCTACAGAAATTACTATAAATAATTAAATGGTGTTATCTGTAACTTGAATCCCTGCTCCTGTTGATGCTGAAAGTCAGTGATGTCCTTACTTTCAACTGCATTTGAATTTAAATTTGATTTATATGAATACACATGAACAAATCAAGCATATTAAAATGAACAGACTTAAAGTATGACTATGCAACTTTGGTGGCAGTTATGGTTTAATGCTAAATGCTAAAAATAGCAGTAGGACAAGTAGAACAGCTTCATATAGTCAGTCATGTCAGTTACACAGCAATACCTAATTAAGATTTCCACTAACTTGAGTCACAATCAGCTACTAGTCACACTAAACCAGTTAAGTCTTCTTTAGGTAGAACTAACAGAACTAACACTGGCTATGTCATAATATAGCTACAACTTAAAACTTACAATTTAAACAATGAATTTATTAGAGTATTAGAGTATTTCAAGTTTACATTGTTGCATTTTTGAAAATGTGAATAATATTCCCACGCTTACTGAAAGTACTTAGATTACAGGAAATCCACTGTGTGAGGTGTGACATCACGCTTTCTGTTCATAGCACTCAAAAGACACACCTTTCTTCATACATGCACTTCCGTTTGTAAAATGAAGAAATATATCTGAGAGATACCTTGGCATTTCTTCACTGGCTGGCTAAAGTTTAAGTCATCCAGCAAATGTCTATAATGTCTGAAGGAAGGAACACTCCTACAGGGAATTTAAAGTATAAGCTCACACCCAATCACACATACAGACACGTACACGCAGGCAGGCACAAGAGCTATTATGTAATGAAAAAATTCCTGCTTGACTTGCAGTCATAGAGGTGGAGCTTGTCATGAGTTTCAAGGAAAGAGAAAGACATTTGTAGAAGTGCTTGCTTTCATTGACGGAACTCAGCTGTCTGTCTACCGTGGGCACGTTATACTGGTAGGTTCAATTACTATTTTGTTTGTGTGAGTGTCCTGCTATGAGCTGTGATCTTTGTAGGATGACATGCACTAATATCTGTGTGTTATTTAAGGCAGGATATAAGCTATAATAATACATTTACATAATTTATTACTTTTTCTAATAAATTAACACAACAATGGCTGTATTGTATCAAAATTAAGAGTATTTGACTTTGATCTTGATAGTGTGCTTTCATTCATTTGTTTTCTCTTAAATCTTTTCCTTTGGTTGGTTATCTGTATTGTCTTTTTTCTCATTAAACAGCTTAAAATTATGTTGATGCTAAAGGATGTAAAGGAGCTGTAGTTGTAGTTATTCTGTGAATCAGTAAATAGGTTTTCAAATGCTATCCTGGGAGAAGTGCAAGAAAAATACATTATGTTATATAAGAAATGTATTGGAATAAGCAAGCTTGCATTGCATTTTATTATTCCTGCTGATAACCTCATTGATTATCACATCTGTACGTATGCCATTTATCAGGCCTGCATATAATAAAGTGTTTATGATAAAGATCAAAGTGCAGGAGACTGTCACACAGCAGCTGACTGCAGTCACGTTGCATTTCAAGACTTCAGCCTGTAATTTGTTTTACATTGTGGTAAACTTGGATGAAATTTCAACAAAATGTTTGTGCATATTAAGAACACAACTTTTTTTTCTAAAATTACATTGTGATGCTTTTTACAGATGGACCAAAATGGTGCCTGAACTGCTGGGGTGCAGCTCAAAACAGCTGCTTTTCTTCAGATGCTTCAGATGCAACCACATTTCTACTTTCATCACAGAGTGAAACCTTTGGTTAAACTTTTCAACTGACAACAAAATGAGTCAGTCAGACAATCAATACACAAAACTGCGATGGTTATTAACCATCGTTGGACTGTTCTTGTATGTGGTGGACATTTGGACAGACATTGGACTGGCTCTGAAATATTTTCGGGATAAACATTTTGTGTGGACTGGACTGACTCTAGCGTTTGTTCTGGCTGGGCTGCTGGTGACGCAGATCTTCAGTTATGCCTGGTACAGGGATGACATGAATAATGTTCTGATAAACCCAGAGGGAAAACCAACCTTATCAGGCATATCCAAAGGTGGACTTGCTGTCCTGCACCTGTTTGGTGTGGGCATCTTCACCAGGTATGGAGTGATCATTGATAACGAATGGTGACGACAGTGATAAGAGCACTGCACCTTTGAATAAGAAGGCACTGACCTTTGTTATTATGCTTGTGTACCCTGCAATAAGGAGTGCCTGCATGGTATGACTCAAAATGTGCAGTATGCTAATAATGCACAGTGGTGTGCTATTATGGAATGTGCAAACTGGAATAACCACATTTAAGCTGTTGTGTATTGCAGGAAGAATCCTTGCAAATGCATTATCATCTGTGCAGTGGCAACAGATGAATGAGTGGTGGCAACAACCTGTCTGACTTTGTTTTCATTGTGTTTGACCTGTTGCTAGGTATTGTCAGCTGCTGAAACAAGGGTTCAAAGTGCTTTGGAAGACAAGAAATGACCATACAGGGGATGTGCACTACAAACTGTTTTGCATGGCTACTGATCTGAGCATGCTCAAACTGTTTGAGGCTTTCCTGGAGAGTGTTCCCCAACTGCTTCTACAACTGTACATAGTGCTGGGCCATGCAGAGTGCTCAGTCCTGCAGTGTAAGTAGAAACAGGAAGTCAAATGTTCTGCTAATTCATGAATATACAGTATAATTAATTATACCACCTATTCACTTCTTTCAGATTTATCTATGACATTCTCCTTCTTTAACATTGCCTGGGCCCTGGTGGACTATCGTCGCTGCCTTCGCAGATCCCTCCGCCATGTCAAGGAGATGCCGTCTGGCCTCCCCACAGCAATATACCTCCTCTACAAACTCTTCACCATCACCAGCCACATCTTAAGCTACACCCTCCTCCTCATACTGAGCACCTACACAACAATAGCCCTCACCGTCCTCTGGCTGCTAGGAACAACCTGGACACACTGTCTTCAAACCAACTTCTGCTCATCCAGAGGCCTTGAGCTACTGTACCGAGCGGTCATCGGAGTCATACTCACGTTCACCTTTTTCAACGTCAAAGGACAGAACACCAAAGTAGAAATGATCATCTACTACTTCTTTTATTCTCTTATGCACATTATGGCTCCTTTATTGCTGTTTTTTTTTAAGCCAGAGTTGCAGTCAACCACGTTTCTGCTCACAGTCAGTGGTTTAATCTGTGGAGGCACGGTGCTGGGACTGGTGTGTCTCGTGCTCTATTACCTCCTCCTGCATCCCAGAGGGACACAGCGGGAGGCAGATGAGGTGGATGGCCTAGGAAATGAAACAGAGACCACACTGAGAATAAGTAACTTTTTACAGCCTTGATAAAAATCTATTTCCAATCTTGGTTGTGGAGGACAGAGAGAAAAAGATACACACTTTCTGGAAATCTGAAAATACCTAACAATTTGATGAAGAAAAGACTGAATAGAGCCTGTTCAGAGAGATGTTATCTTGATATTGTGATCGGTATTATACTACATTTTAATGCTGCTATCGAGTTATCTTACCATGAAGTTTACTTTGTCAATACTGACACAAATGGCACCCTAAGAAATTAAGTGCAATATTAAATGACCTGTTATTTATTCAAGACCATCCATTAATAATGCAAGACCATCCATTAATAATGCATTGTAATAAAATTATGTTATATATATTTTTTGTGTTAGACATATACATTTATGTAAGAACACACAATAATAAAGCTAATTGTTAAATTGTATACTTGTGAGCTATTTTCTCAATTTGTTTTTTGTTCTCAGAACCTAAACAGTTAAGTGGAGTATACTTATAGCTGGATACTAGCCTGTAACACACATATTAAACACAAGGTGGCATTATTGTCTAGGTTGAGTTTTCTAGGTGAGCTCCTACAGCTGGACCAACATTAACAAAACTTATAGAGTTATACTTTTAGTCAGAAAACATTCAACAATATTTCAGCCTCCTTTTCCAATCATTCTTATGTCTTCTCCATTAATAGTTCCAGTGTTATGGAGCCTTCTGGATAGATGTAACTGTAACTGTATGATTAATGTGATTCCTTAATTAGATGATTGAGTCCTTTGTTTGACGCTGGATGCTGCTTTTGACAAAAGGAACTTACATTATGACAATCCAACAGAACGCATGCTCACCAGTACAGAGTTTCTCCTGTACAAAGTTTCACCACCAACATCATTTCATTGACGGTGAATTAAACTATAAATATCAGCTACTGCTCTGATCTCTTTTATCCTAATCCCCTAAACTAAGGTGGCAACTAAACATTTCCCTCTCCTCAGAAATGATGAACACAGGGGTCATGGATGAGCTAGCTAGAAACAACAAACCACTGCTAATTTTGTCTTGACTACCAGCAAAATATTGTGTGAGTCAAACCGAAGAGGACACTTTTTCTACCCGGCCAGGGCTGGGGGTGGCCGTTCCCGAGCGGCCCAGTGTGAGCTCACCTGGGAGGAACGCCGACAAACCACAGGGTCCAGAGTGCACGATGCTTGTTGGCTCTCCAATTAACGCAGCCCCCCCCCCCCTTCCCTTTAATTCAGGCAAACTCAGAGCTCTTTGACCTGTTTACTTGAAGGGGCCACTTTAACTTTCATCTGTCAGTTGTGTTCTTTCAGAGGCACTCCATAAAATGACAAATTTAAGTGAGGAACTTGTGTTGGACAGGAAATGAACCACTGCCAGGTAGTTACCACACAGAATTCAGTTTTACTGTAGAGCAACAGTGGACACACTTTAACTTTTTGGTTCTTATCTGTTAAATGTTTGTTCTTTCCATGTATTTAGGCGAAGGTTTTCGTTCTACATAAATAGCTATAGAGTTTATATAGAGAGAGTAGTAATACTGTAGAAATCCAGTATGTATGGTGTTAATGTGGAGTAATCAGATGGATAGAATCACAAAATTATGCTTATAACTTACCTTTGGAACCAAAAGGAGGATATTGCACCTGTAGGCAGGACACATCATTAGGGAGATAATGAAATGACTTCATGGTTTGCATTTCAGATGATAGTTGCTCCACTCTCTCCCTTCCACTGTATATTTCCTTGGGTTCAGTGAACTAATGCGATGTAAACCTGCCAAAGGGACTTTTATTGGGAGAAGATGCATGTGTCCTGGGCTCGAGTCCTAAGCAGTCTCTCCCTCTCTGTCTTCCTTTGCTTTTGTTGAGCTACATACACTTTTGGCTGTGACTCACCACTGACAGCGCTGCCAGGGACCAGTCACAGGCCATTGGGATGAAACGTGTTGAGTAAAGCATTACCTCTCTCTCTCTCTCTCTCTCTCCCTCTGTCTAGGAAAAAACAAGCAGAGAGAACTCTGGCGTTGACAACCTCTCTGTAATTTCCACTTCTGGCACTGAGAGCTTAATACCCAATAATCTCTCACTCTGATCTCACTGTAATGCACCTCTAGGAGGGCTGGAGAGCGTGGTGAGAATCTGAGAAACTAATAGCAAATCAAAGATGATGATACATGACAGTGCAAGATGAATCTCAGGTGCACCACAGGCCTTCATTTTGCTCATCCAAGGGCAGAGAACATCGACCATTAAGGAGGACAAATGTGCAAACACAAAGACTTCTCACACTGCCGTCAGCAGCTCTGTTTTGTCTGATTGAATGGCGCTCAGCGTCTACATAAACAGCCTTGACCACTGACCTCTCTATAACCATCACTAGCTTTTCACCAAATCTTATCTTTTTGTTTTCCATCACCACATCCTGTAACAGCCGGTCAGGAGGGGGGCATTCCTGGCGCACGCCATCCCCACAATTTGTACAGACACAATAAACCCAGAGAGGCAGGCTGTTTTTCATTAGGGCTTCAAAGTCCATATAAACCATGATTAATGAAGTCCTGAGATGTTGTATGTCTTTAATTATTATGACTTGACTGCTGCACCAGTGCTGTAGATGCATTAGCAATGTTGGCGATCTGTACACATCTGCCTGGCTCGTTCTGACATGGCAGCTTCGACTCATTCTTGGAGAATTCCCCGAATGTGGAGGAGGGCGGGAGGGGAGTGATAGAATCCCCCCTTTTTTGCAAAGGCACAGAAGTTTCTTTAATCACTGTACATGCACACTTACAAATGAGTTTGGGCAGTGACAGATTGGAGAGCAGGCTGAGGATAATTACATGCAGTGGGCTGGTGTGTGATCAGAGCATGGCATTGCGTTACCCAGAGGGTTCTGTAAATAAAGTCCCCATGCAATGAATGAGGATATTGTAAAGTGCATTATGCTGGGTACAATAGCCCCACCATTGTTACTATTTGGATCTCTGCTCCAGAGTAGCTGATGGTGTAGTATGACAAGAACTGCAACAGGGAAGTCAATCTAGGCTTAAGCAGAAAATATTGTGGATGACGTCAGTTGTTACCATAGATCTGACATAAGGCACCAATTACCCAGAGTAAGTAATCATATAGTGAAGCTTTAGGTAGGCTACCTCTTTACTTTCTGTTGCTTTAAAGAGGCCCTATCACGAAAATATACTCTTAACTTTACTTAGAAATGTATTTTGTCAAAAATGATTTAGTAATATTGGCTTTGCTTAAATTATTATTTTTATAAAGCTCATTTAGAGCCCCACTCACAGTGACGTTGTTACTGTTGCACAACCATGGTCCAGTATGAGTGTGTCAGACTATTTTGTCAATTCAAAAAATACATTTTAAGAAAATATCTCAATGATTATTATTCTTATGTGCAAAGAGAAAAGAAAAAAATGTAATGTGAATTTTAGTCTAAAGCCATGCTAGCGTCCCCTGTGACCTAGATGCTTACATCACCATGTTCTCCCTTTTGAGTTTAGCATGTTAGCATGCTAGCATTTGCTAACTGGCATTAAAAGTAGCTACAAAGTAGCCTGCAACTGAGGCTGATGTGATGCAGTATGAAGTATTATATATAAAAACAATGTGGCTGGACCAAAGTGGTGGACTAACTAACAGACCGACAAATCCATCCGTGCTGGAGCCCCTCCACTAGCATGGCTAAGAGTGATATGTATCTTACATTCTGTGGGGCCAACCGTTGACTCTATTTACAATAACTACATGATAAAAATAGGTCGGCTAACTGGACCAGCAAGTGCAGCAAAGATGTACCGTGTATGCACAGGTTTAAGTGACCAGAAAAGGTTCTACAGTTTTTATTACCCTTAAATGTCAACCGAGAACACTCACACCTGGGAGCTGCCTAAAACAACCACAGTCTTATTCCGTTGTCCTCAGAGCAGTTCCATTGGGGCAGTTGGTGTTTAGTGCTCTTTGGGAATTTAACGATACTTTGTTGAAGGCAAGTATGGTAGTTAATCACCTCCTGCTTCCAGATTTTCCCAGCCATTCCGTGGATTCAGCTTGGGATTTCAGTCTATTAAATACACTGATTGTTTGACATACTGTAAAGGATTTTTTTATAGGCCAAATGAATTCATAAACAGTTCTTCATGGTTAAACTAATATAAAATAAATGCTTGAAAAAAAATGGCTTGTTTATTTCCAATGTGCCATTTTAACATATCATCAGTCCTTTTCAAACTCAGAGTCATCTTAAAAGGACTTCAAAGAATCGTGGGGTGTACTCAACTCTGCGTCATGTCCAGACAGTGGGACACAGAAACAAAGAGCGAAGAGGAAGCTCATTTGTGTAATCCTCATTTAGTGCAGGCGGTTTATGTTTCACAGTCATGGACCGAGCACTAACATAATATGCGCTACCCATCCTAGCCCTCACACGCAGTCTCTCTCACACAGACGTACACACAGATAGAAAACAGAAGCCATGTTTGTGTTGGGCACGCTCCCACAGCACACAGGATGATGGATTATAGAGTGTTCCTGTTTATTTATGCTGTGCTGGGTAGAAGAACATGGGCAAAGACCTCATGCATACAGCCCATGTATGGCAAATACAATCAGCCGTAAAATAAGATTGCATATTATGAATGAGAAATGGGTTCACACATACATACACACGAAACACATGGACTGCAATCAAACACACACACACACGTCTTTTTGCAGGGGAAGCTTGTCTTGATTAACCTGGCCGGGGGAACCCGACATGTTTTTCCTTTTACGTCATGGCCTGTTCCCTGAGTGGCTCAGTGGAAGCCATCAATTCTAGTTTGTCTGCAGTTTGTCTGTTTGAATTTTTTGCTAATCTGTATTATTCATTGATGGCCTGTTGGCCTTGTACAGGAAGTGCTGAGTGAAGACTGTCGTGGTATTTTTTCACTCAGACATCATACATCATGCTTTCTTTTTTTTACAAAAAAATCTCTCAGTTGGACAACCTTCCTCTGCCCGCTGCCTTTAAGAATGAACGTTTTTGGTGTTTTGGTGTTTTGGTGGTTTATAAGGGGAAAATGTATTATTCCGCCACATATTCTCTGCTGAACAATCTTTCTATAAGAGCTGAAGAAGGAGAGGATTAGCAGCATGAGCCATGAAAATAGCGAGGAGGTGCACAAAGCATCTGTGACCGTGGGGGACAAATGTTTTTTTTCTCATACAGCTACTCTCTGAGCTGCGTACACTTCAGCTTATCACCCCCTTGACAATTTTCTGTTTCTCCCAGTATTAGAAGGCCCATAGATCTTGAGTAGAGGAAAAGATGCTATGCCTGATTTTAACTAGAGGTCAGGTCTTTGATGCTCGTACGGTGAAATTT